GTTGTTTGTGTTATATATCCACTCCAAAAACTGGAAGAACTAAATTTGGTGCACGAGCTTCCCCAGCTGTTTTTCTTGGATATCCATATGGTAAGAAGGCATATAAAGTCTTCAATCTTGAGACACAAAAACTTGAGGATTCCAGGGATGTTGTGTTCCATGAAACTGTCTTCCCTTTTCATTCCAGCTCACCTTCATCTGAACCCATATTTCCTATAAATCCCATTTCTGATTTTTCTAGTCCTAATCCCATTACACCCTCATCATCCCTTTCAGATTCCATTCCCATTCCACAATCAAATTCTTCTCAACCTCATTCTGCCTCCAACCTCCCCTTACGCAGATCCAACAGAACCATTCAACCTCCTTCCTACCTTCAAGATTATGTTTGTCATAATGCCATAACCAGCTCACCCAATTCCTCTATCACAGATTGCCCTCATACTCTCACCTCTCACTGCTCACCCACACACATATGCTCTAGTGCTCTAACCACACATAGTCAGCATTTTTTGCATATGGTTTCACAATTGCAGGAGCCACACAATTATGAGGAGGCCAAGAAAGATCCTGCCTGGCAGGAGGCAATGAACAAGGAATTAGCAGCCCTAATGCTCACTGGAACATGGGTCATCTCTGAGCTGCCTAAAGGAAGGAAACCTCTTAGCTGCAAATGGGTCTATAAACTGAAGTTTAGATCTGATGGTACCCTTGAGAGGCGCAAAGCTAGGCTGGTTATTCGAGGATGTTTTCAAAAGGAAGGGATAGATTATCATGAAATTTTTTCTCCAGTTGTTAAAATGACAACAATAAGAGCTCTTATTGCAATTGCAGTAAAGAAACATTGGCCTATGTATCAGTTAGATGTAAACAATGCCTTCCTTCACGGAGACCTTGATGAGGAAATCTATATGAAACCTCCACCTGGGATGGCATTATCTTCTCCTGGTCAAGTCTTACGTCTTCAAAAATCATTGTATGGCCTTAAACAAGCATTTTGGGCTGCTAGGAAGGAAGGTAATACATCTTTAGTCCATTAGTCCAAATCTTTATGAGGTTATAGTTAATTAGATGTGAAGAATTTGTTTTCCAAACATTATAGGGAACATGCTTTTATTTACAAACATAGTTTCAATAATATGCAGCTTAATCCATAGGCTTAATTCATACTCGTTTGAAAATACATAGCTAAAAAAGTTTATCATATTTGTCAAATCTTAAATTTGCTGAGTAAAGATTGCCTTAAGGACCTTTGTTTGATTGTTACTTTTAACTCATACTCCGTATTGAATACGGAGTATGATTGTATCACTTTCTATAAGTTTTATCATTATTGCAAATGTTTTGTAGTTAAGTTTGTCTTTGTAATTAAGCTTGTCTGATGAATATAATTAAAGTTATCCCATGGTTGTGAGAAGTATGATTAATGATTATGAATAGATGGAATCCCAAACGAGTGATTAAAAAAAAATATAACTAATCCTTGTTCTGAATATGTTTTGGGTGTTTCACTTCCATAGAATTAACAAATCACATAAAAAACGCACTCTACATACTATTCAATCTAAAATGATGCATTGCTTTTCGAAAAAAGGCACCCAAACAAAATCATTTTTCTAAAAATAATTATTTAAAAAGTCGAAAATATTTACGCCAATATTCCTAGATTTGGCTTATAATACAATAGTATTCCCAGATTTTTTTTTTGCATACCAATTATTAGATTTTACATCGTTATTCCAGCTGTCCGGCCAAGTCATCAAGAAATCAACCCCAATTTTTGGACTGGGAACAAAGAATTTTGACGGGGGGCACCAAATTTTTTTTACTGGGGGCATCCATGAAACCAACCCCAATTTTTTTCTTTTTTATAGAATATTTAAAAATGTTCACTGGGGTCACTGCCCCCATAGATAAGCACGGGATCCGCCCCTGGATTAATTGTTAGAATATTAATCGACTCTAAAGATTTTGTAGTTTAGTGATATCAACTACGGTTGGCCCTGACATTTTATAGGCCCTAAGCCAATAATGCTACTTAAAATTATATCCTGTTCTTTATTTTTGAGATTTAAAAACACATACTCCCTCCGTCCGGATTTTAAGTTTCCACTCTACGTTTTTCTCCGTCCGGAATTAAAGTTCCCACTCTACGTTTTCATACTCACTCTTCCTAAAATACCCCTTCTTCTATTCGTTTTCTTTCTTCCTCTTTTCTTTTTTCTTCTCCCCCCCTTTTTCTCGCAGACCTGGCCAGTGGCCACCCCCTCCCTTTCTTTTTCTTCTCTCGTTCTTTCTCTCTTCCCCCTCCCCCTTCTATTTTTCTTCTCCCAATTATCTTCTTTTTCATTTCTTCTTCCTCTCCTTTTCTTTCTTTCTCCCTTTCTTTTCTCAGCAAAAACACGCCACTCGACTCTCACTCCCCCCTCTTTTTCTTCTTTTTTTTCTTTCTCTCCTTTCCTTTCTCTGCCAGATCTGGCCATCATTTTCTCTCTCCTTTCCCCTCCTTTTTCTTATTCTTCTTCTTTCCGATTAGATCTACGTGCAGTGATTCGATTTCATCTCCTTGTAGATCTACAATTGAGGAAGGGTTTTGATTTACTTGCAGATACGGAGGAGGCTGGGGCGGTGGTGGGGGTTGGGCGACGGTTGGGGCGGTGGGGATAGGGATTGGGGTGGTTGTGGTGTTGAGGGTTGCAGAGATATTTTGGTGTGGGAGCAGGGGTATTTTGGGCAATGTAACCCATTAGTCAACTTCCACTAAAAATGAGCAAAAGTCAAACCGGGAACTTAAAATCCGGACGGAGGGAGTATTATATCTTTTAAGACTAGACATGAAGTAGATCTGTTCAAATAATGATCAAAGTAAGATCTTAAGATCTTGGTCAGGTATAATAAAAATTACTCGGAGGTATTAGTCAATTTACATAGACTGGCCTAGCTCGGCTAGGATCTAAAGAAAAAAACTCTCCAACCTTTTGTCTCCGGCTCTAACCCTGTGTCAATTAACCGCGACAGAAAACAGAGCTGTGCATGTACGTGTGCTGACGTCGATTCGCAATGTGTGTTGAATTAAGGTGGCGGGATCTCTCGGTAACGGCAATGGCGGGTCGAGGGGAAGCACGAGAGCCCCAGTCTTGGCAATGGAGGAGATACCCAAT